GTCTTCAGGGAAGTTGTTCTTTGACATTCTTATAGTCTCCACGGCAGTTGTACTGAAACTCCAGTCTCCATGACAATCTGACCAGTATAGTCCAATCTCAAGGATTAATGCTCCTTCCAATATTTATAAAAGGAGCTGATTTCCGATATGTTTAAGACGTGCAGTATTCACTGATTGAAGAAAGTTGTTTTGACAAGCGCTGGTCACTTCAGTGGTATCCCGTCCCACTTGAAGATTTAAAAAAAAAAAAAAGAAACAAACAAATCAGCTTAATTTAATGATGCTATAAATTCTCAAAACCTATTACCACAAACATGTTTAATACATTATCACGGTGTGTTATCTTAATCATAATTTATACATTTAATGTGAGCTTAAGGATAACTGGGGACAATGCAGATATTGTTTTCCAAGAAGAAACTGGAAAAGTTCAGAATGGTTCTAATACAGAGACGATCCATTTTGAAAGTTCCGCAAAGACAATTCAAAGAAGAGGTCAACGTTTGAAGAGACAGGAATCAGAAGGATGTCTCCAAGGTAAGATTTTCTACTACAACAAAAAGTCCACAGTCATTTTCACAGGATTGAATATCCCTAAACAACATTTAAATTATCCTATATTCGGTTACGACTGCGCATGGCTAAGGAGAAACTATACCATTGAAAATACATCTGCTTCTCATAGGAACGTTTGGGAATTGATCTTGTCTTTTCTTATATTTCCTTTATTCTCTATTCTTCTAGGTTTACTCAATCTATGCCTCCCTAGACTCTCGTCCTCATATGACTCTAGCTGACTTTCTCCTCATAGACATCCGTCCGTGTATGTTCCTGACTGATGTTATTCCTGTAAACATCCGTCCTCAAATCACCAAAGACATCTTTCTCAGAGGATTTGTGCTGGTGTTGTCATTATAACAATTATTGTCTTTATATGACCCTGATTTCTTCTAAAAACTTATCTTCATATACGATTTCTGCATATGACAAAGCATATTGCTTAATCATCTTTTAACCTGTCCTCAAATTACCCGAGCTGTTTTGAGGATGCAAAGTATAGTTTGTCATTTGAAATTCTATTGACTATTTTTCATTTTTATGTTTTCTCTTTGAACATAGCTCAAGAGAAAAAAGTCGTACATTTTTTAAACATTTACATGACAACGTTAAAAATTAAAAATTAGAACCGTGATTCAACGTACGATAAATGACACATAGCGAGTGACCATTACGTAATTGTTGTAAACATAGTAATGGTAGCGACTGATTGATAAAATGCTGCTCAAATAAATAATATACATTGTCGATTAAGAATAAATCATTGATTATCATTTAGAACAATAAACGTGCGTAGCGAATTTAAATATATAAACATCACATTTAGTAGAAGACATAGTTTTTCAGACAAGATCATAATGTAACAATACATTATATACTTTTCTTCTCCTTTAAATTTGACTTTCCGTGTGATAACGTTTTAATGTGTTCCACATTATCCCCTATGCATAGAAAATATACTAACGGAAAAAGACACTGTACATTGGTATAGTACGCTATAACTAAGGAGGTGTATCAGAAATCGCGGTCTTATCCTACCTTGATTTAACACCAGCTCAATTGATACAGTTATTTCATCAGCAGCGTCTTGGATGGAGATCAGTTTTCACAGACTTTCTCTAAATAAAGTTCAGATCATCAACACCGTGTATGTCCACCATTGAAGTCGATGCATGCTTGACAACTATGTCTCATTGATGCGACAAGAGTGCTGAAAATTGCCTGTGGAATGCCATTCCATATTCTCACAAGCGCACTGACAGGTCAGGTAACATCAACGGCTGATTTTGAAGGCGACGCAAGTAATGCTGTATATCATCTTATAAGTGATGTATAGGCGACACATCTGGTGACTTTGAAGACCAGGGCAGCACATTAACATTGTTCTGGATCAAGAAGTCGGTGACGGCCTGCGCGACGTGCTAGCGAGCGTTAGAATTTTGCAGCATGGCGTTTCGTTGCTGTACAAATGGAAGGCCGGATGGTTTCCTCACAATATCTAATGCCTGTAAGTGTGCCGTCCACAACCACAAGAACTGTTCTGCCACGGAATGAGATGCCAACCCACACCACGATACTACCTCCGCCGAAAGGATGTCGTTGAGTCATATAACTGTCATGGAAACATTCACCAACACGACGATGAAGTGTGTTTGTCGTCTACACCAGGCTAAACGTGTTACATGATGACGTTGCTGGAGAATCGAACGTATGGCTGGACGTCGTTAACGTATGCCTCGTTCGAGCAATCGATTACGTACCGTTCGTGGACTAAATCTTCATGTGATACGTATATGTAGTGGTCCCAAACTGTTGTTACCGCCAATACAAGGCGTCTACAGTATTTCAGCGCAGTATCTTACAGTTTTATTCAACCTTTGCAAGGCGTATTATAGACGTTATTACACAATGCTTATACATAAGTTTGTGCGGCAAACGTGTTTGCGATTGACAGGTGACCGAAAAAGAACGTGAACACGAAGACGTGGGCCAGACAGACAATAACCTATTTAACACATACACAGACCATTGTACATGACGTATAAAGGCATACATAACTTACCCATGTAGAGTTTTAAGATTTAATTAATAGAATTGAGCAATACATAAACATTTTAACGCATGCATAGTTTCTTTTTTCCGCTTATAAATATCAAACGTTTCACCATTTGTTTGCGCGCAACATTTAGTATTATACGACCTTAATTTTTTGATGATTTGGAATAACTAACAGACACTTTTATAGTGGTATCATACTGCAATGACACACCTAGAAAATGTACTACGATACATATCCAACTGTAATTGTACTGATAACCGGATAATCAGTTGTTGTGATGTGCGACAGGCAGGTGTATTTGAATAATATGTATTGTATGTTTTGACTTGTGGACGGAATTAATGCTTTCCTCACTTTTACCGACTCTCAACATCACTAAATGTGTCTGCATCATATTTGTTTATCTTTTTTTTTCTTCTTCTTCTTTCGTTAAATTCTTTTCTGGAATCGATTGATAATTGAAACAAAAGGAATAATTTTAGAGAGATATATATATCCCTTTACAACAGTATACTTTTTCTTCTATTTTCAATGAAAAAAAAATGTTTCAAATTTTTGCAACAAAACTAGTAAGCATCGCTTGGATTTAACTCTAAATGCGTTTTCATTGGCTGAAGGTGTGAAAATTGACTTATGTGAAATGTGATTAAATGAAAAATTTGACGCGGGAAGGCTTACATGTATAACGCTTAGATTAAGTTTGATGTAGCATTTATAATTTCAGAAAGTAAGGTTGACCAAGCATTTTAACACAGGGCTACCAAGTTATGTGTAGTATTTTATATCTCATTTCGGTTTATTGTTACTTATTGCTTTTCTTACCAAAAGTGATTTTTGTTGATATTTCTGTGAAATAATGTACTAAACGGAACTCTTGATTCGATTTTAGAAAATCATCAAAGTACAGAAAGGAAAATATGTCCGCAGAACACATCCTATCAACTTGTGGAATATAGCTGTTGTATAAAATGTCAAGAGAGAAATGCAGAAGTCGACTGTGGTAAGTTTTACTGTTACATAGTAACATAGAATATCATTTCGAGATAGTCATATCAAACAAAAAATAAGAACCTACAAATTTACAATCCAATTAAATAACACAAACAGCTGCGCTGTTTCTCCATGCCCCGTCGGTGAAACAAAGGGCTTAAGCTTTAAAATCTAGAATGTGACTATGAAAAACCAAAACTGATCAAACTAAATGTCAGAATTTAAATGGAAAAGAGAACTAGCCTCCAAAATCCAATCTTGTAACATTTATATATCTGATAGTTTTGAAATACACATTTTTTATATTCAAAACTGAGTCACTAGGTACATGAAATAGAATCTTTTTTTGAAAAAGTTAATTGAGGTACATGAAATAGCGTAATATTTTTGAATTTAAAGAAAATATTACATGAAAATATTTTCAAAACTAAATATCATAATAATGTGGAATTTTTATTTCAGCGAATGGTTTTTTAATAAATAGCATTATACCAACAATTACATATGTAACATACTAGAAATACTATCATGTGAAATTTTAATCAAAATGAAAAACAAGCATGATTTCATGGCAAAAACACACCTGGTCATTTTTGTAATATTACTATGCCGAAAACGCGAATGCCGTGGAATGTTCTGTTACTGAGAAATTGCGACTTTTCTGAAAAACACACCTTTGGCTAAGAGGCGTTGACCTCGTTTTCGGGCACCCAAGCCTGTGACGTCATAAGTTTCTTTTGTTGATGCAATCCTTTTCTGTGCTACATTGTTCATTCACTTCGAATTTGATTTATGATTCCGTTAACACGTCCTAACACTAACACAATATTTTTGAATTTAGTAAGAAAATATACAACTAAACAAATACTTGGGCGGTCGTTGGAAAATTATTCCTTTAATTTGAACGCCTAATTCGTAGTCGTGAATTGGTCACGGGAATTTTCATCCCGAGAAATTTCATAACTAATATATAGTATAAATATCATAATAATGTTATTCAATAAAGCTTCAATATTTCTCAGAATTTTTATTTCAGAATATCGAATGGTTTTTTAATAAAGGCTAGCATTATACCAACAATTACATATGTAATTCATACAGGATAGAAATATCCTATCATGTGAAATTTTAATCAAAATGAAAAACAAGCACGATTTCAGGTGAAAATGCGCAAAAACATGGCACGGTTTTTCGTATTATTATTTTTACTATTCTTTTTATAAAATTACTCTCAGGGTACACTTTAACAACAAACAAAAAATAAAGATATGATGGGAACGATTTCTCATTGACAACAAAATTGGTGTGCCTGAAAATTGAAAACAAAAAAGCTATTTGAACACGTTCTGTACTTTATGTGTCCACAATTGTTGGAACTATTAAGTAAATAATAATGAAAGTATTGTTCATGTATAGCGTTGTAGCAGGATACTATTTGTTTGTTGCAGAACCATACAGCTGTATTGGAATCCGTGCATGCTCGTCCCTACAGGAACCATCTCGACGTCTTGATCTCCATAACAGTCATATTTCCGCCCTTCCTTCTAATGTTTTCGATGGACTTGTTGATCTTGTTTTTCTCGACCTATCCTACAATAACATTTCAATTTTACGTCCAGATGTTTTCAATGGACTATTAAGTCTTACTCATATAAATCTGTCCTTTAATAACATTAGCTCTCTCTCCTATAAGGCGTTCAGGGGATTGACGAACCTTACTCATCTTAACCTGAACAGAAATAATATCGGCTTTCTTCCTCAAAATGTGTTCAAAGGACTGTTGAATCTTGCTGCTCTCAACTTGCATGATAATGAGATAGCTGATCTTCCATATAAAGTATTTGATGATGTTTCCTCACTAACTTATCTCTACCTCGGTTTGAACAACATACCAACCATTCGATCCATGGTGTTCAAGGAACTATCTGAACTGACTTATCTCGACTTGTCCGAAAATAAGATAACAATTCTGAATCAAAATGCGTTCAGAGGACTGTCGAATCTTTCTACTCTCTACCTGGATGGCAACGAAGTAACGAATCTTCAAAACAACGTGTTTGATGAGCTTTCCTCTCTAGATACTCTCACCTTGGACAGAAATAAGTTAGCAAGTCTCCCGGATAATATACTTAGCAAGCTGACGAATCTCAAAGTTTTGGGTTTGAGCAGAAATGAAATAGCCAATATCCCTTATATTGCATTGCCAAAACTCACAAAAATGTATCTTTTATTCAATAATATACATATTCTTCCTTTTAACATATTTCGTGAAGTTTCTAAACTTACTCTCCTTCAACTTGCTTATAATAACTTAGTAACTTTCCCATCTGATGTGTTCAATGGTTTGTCTGAACTAAGATATCTTTTTCTTAACAACAATGATATCACGGTTCTGCCACACAATGTCTTCGGAGAACTACCTAATCTTACATATCTCGACTTGTCCGATAATAAGATAGTGATAATACCAATTAATCTATTTATGGGACTGTCTAAGCTTATTTTCCTATACATGCACCATAACAAAATCGATAACCTCTCCTACGGTGTATTTTCTAGAATGGGTGTAGATGGCAAACGATATAACTGGGACAATAAGTCCACAGTTGAATCTGCTCCGCCTAACAACATTCAAAATCTGGACATATCCTACAATAGATTGACACATTTACCACGTTTACCGGATAACCTTTCACATCTAAACATCATCGGTAACAATATAGATGTGACAGAACGTATGTTTGAGGATTTGGATAATCTGAAGATGTTGTTCACTGATATCCCCTTTATGTGTTGTGTTAAGCCACCTTCAGTTGATGACAATAACTGCTTTAAAACAAAGTATTCATTATTGCAATGCAGGAATTATCCGGATCATTGTAAACCAGAAAATGATGCGATATCATCTTGTTTTGCCCTGATAGGTTCGACATTACAAAAAGTTTGTCTTTGGATAATAGGAATGTGTTCTTTAATTGGAAACTTAGCCGTAATAGTGTATAGACTTCACATCGACAAAGATAATATTACAACGAACTATTCGCTCTTCACTGTGAATTTAGCCATGTCTGATTTACTTATGGGTGTTTATCTATTCATAATAGGAGTTATTGATGTTTATTACGATGGTGTATACGCCTGGAACAACAATAGATGGAGGAACAGCGTTTTGTGTACAACAGCAGGTATCTTGTCGAGTGTGTCAAGTGAGATGTCGACATTCCTGATATTAATGGTTACCATTGACAGATTAATTGCCATCATGTTCCCTCTGTCCCGTCTCTCTCGGTGGAGAAATTCCCATAAACTGTCATTACTTGTGTTAGTTTCCTTATGGATAGTTTCAATCATTCTTGCAACCATCCCTATTGTAGCTAGTCAGTCTTACTTCAAAGGGGAATTCTACTCTCAGTCGAGTGTTTGTCTTGGCCTTCCTCTCACAGCAGAGCAGCGACCAGGCACTGAGTATTCATTCGCTGTATTTGTATGCCTCAACAGCGCCGTTTTTACCGTAATAGTCGTAGGTCAAATTTGTATCTGGAAAGGCATGAGGGAGAGTCGACGACGCATTTCATCATCACAGAATCGAGAACGAGAGACGGCTGTTGCAAGGACTCTTTTCTTCGTAGTAGCGACAGACTTTTGTTGTTGGTTTCCCATTGGTGTCATGGGTACGTTTGTGAGCGTTTCATTATATAGTTACACTATACTTAAAAAGGGGTTTATGATAATACTTTAGTCGTGTAAATGTTTGTGCACAAGATATGTCACAAACCCCTAACATATTTAGTTTATAGTTACAGCATAGCCGTACATTCCGATTTAAAAGGTTTATAATGTTATAGGTCATCGGTCAAACTTAAAGGTGAAAAGACACCTGACACGTTTTGAAATATAATCCATGTGTACAAGGTATTGCATGATCTTTGGAACTATTTATATCATATTCAGCATGTTATGTCACTTTTTGAGTCAAATGTCCACAATTGGCAACTTTTTAAAAACAAAGTTTCGGGCTTTTGTAAAAGATAACTTATAGACTCTGCACTATTCAGCTATATCGAAACTCCGACTTTGTTTTATTTCTATATCGCATCAAATAAAACATGGTCATACATATGTTTTTAATAAATATGATGCGGTGATTTTGACATAGATGATATCCAGGATTCTTCTACAGACAAAGCATGTCGTAAATGTCCTGAAAGATATATCGTTTGTTGTCCCTGACAAAGTTGTGATATAGTAATACAAGCAAATACAATGGATTTATTTCAGGAGTTGCATCAATGTGTGGGGTAGAAATCCCGAATGGAGTGTATGCCTGGGTGATGGTGTTCGTGTTGCCTATCAATGCCGCCATCAATCCGTTTCTGTACACTGCCACAGCTGTGTGGAGGAAACGACAAAGGGTAAGCTGATATTGATATCACAAAAAACAGCATACATTAGAATATATGTCCTTTTTTATTATACTAATTTTGACGGCGGGCGCTAGCTACTACGGAGCACTAGGTCTTATGTTTTTAACAAGGACCTCCGTGCCAATATAAAGACTTTGTGAAGCTTGCCCTTGTTTTAACCAATTTGCATTCGTTCGAGATTTTTTCGGTATATGCTCGTTTTTGGCGTTCCATGACTTAAAGTGTACCCTGAGATGTCAGCTATGTTGACCTTGAAAAATAGTTCTGCACATAAAATACACTATGCCGAAAACGCGAATGCCGTGGAATGTTCCGTTACTGAGAAATTGCGACTTTTCTGAAAAACACACCTTTGGCCGAGAGGCGTTGACCTCGTTTTCGGGCACCCAAACCTGTGATGTCATAAGTTCAACGCTTTTGTTGATGCAGCCATATTGTCTTTACTGTGCTACATGTGATTGTGATCTATTTTGGGATTTTCCGTGGTAATTTCTTTGTTTATTTACGTGAAAGTACTTCACATCTTCGCAATATCTAAGGTAGTGAACGAGGGGTCGGTGAATTAGCGCTTAAATCCGCTAAAATGGCTTCCTATCGAGGAGGGAAGCGGTGTGTATGGTTGTCCTAACACTAACACGGATGGGGTGTCGATGCATGACGTCGATAAATAAAACTGATTGTTGATTAAATAAAAGTATATTTGTTAGGTTGATATTTTGTTATTAATTCTACAAATAAACATTTTAAATTGATAGGCTAGCCTATGACTTGGGCGGTCAAAGGAATATTATTCCTTCGTAATCATGAACGCCTAATACTCGGAGAAGGCCTAGTCGTGAATGGGTCACGGGAATTTTCACCCCGAGAATTTTCATACTACTATTATATAGTATAGAATAGAATTATTAGAATTTATAGAATAGGTTATGTGTGTATGTTGTTTGTATAAGGTGTATTTGGTTTTTAGATCTTCCAGCAGACGATGTTGTTTAGTTATTAATTTTGCGATCGTAAAAATAACAATAAGATCACCAATCTTGATTTGAAAACACAGTTCACAGTGTAGAGATGTCATCTAAACTCATAATCACACCTGTGCCAGGTTAGGTAATTAGCACCTCTGTGGCTGGAAAAAACAATTGTGACACCTGTGAGGCGACACGCCTGTCGGCTAACAACAGACGCGTACCAGTGCTAGGGTAAAAACCAGTCAAATAATTGTTTAAACTTCTAAAACATCAAATTTTTATTATTAACACAGCGGAGGGTGTTATAATTGGTTGTTGACACCCTATCTATATATATCCATAGTGCTACGAAAATTCCCTGGAAAGAAAAATTCCCCTCGGACGAAACTTCTTCGGTAAGAAAATTCCCGACACCTCGTGAATGTATGCATGGTCTTGCACAAACGCGATTTCCCGACGTCAGAAATTGTTGATCGAGACTTGAAGATAGTAAAATTAGTCCAAAACCACACCCAATTTTATTTTGTTTCTTTGAAACGACGATTCACTGTTCGACTACTTTCACGACTACTGGTGAGACCCAGTGAAGTACGTGCCAATCTATGTTGCCCAAGCGATCGTCACTTTTCGAAGGGTCATTTTCCTCCTCACTTGATACATCGTCTTGTAATTCCAGTTCAAATCGGTAGGGCTGGATTCCGTCTTCAGACATATCATTCACACCATAATCAGACTCCTCAAAACTCATGCTCAAATCGCTCTCAGTTGCGGTGTCGTTGTCACTGTCAGTCATGTTGACTGCCATTTCTGTTGAACTTATGACGTCACGAGTAGAAGAGCCTCGATTCCGCGGAAATGACGATTCGGCTGATTAGGTCTGGGCGGACAGGTGAAAATCGACAACTTTGAGCTTTAATAACTCGACACTGGGGCGACGGATTTTGACGGGGTTTTCATTATTATTATTTTTACGGCATTCTTAACATGATATCTAAATATAAAATTACTCTCAGGGTACACTTTAATATTGACCCTTTTCCATTTTGTTGAAGATGTTAAAATCGATGACATCATCGGCACGACAAGGGCGTCTGCTGGCTGCCAATATCAATATTCAGACGTCAGTCGGCAGAGATGCTGTGAATAGTACTGATATTCAGACAACGTCAGTCGGCAGAGATGTTGTGGATAGTACTGATATTCAGACAACGTCAGTCGGCAGAGATGTTGTGGATAGTACTGATATTCAGACAACGTCAGTCGGCAGAGATGTGGCCAGTACCGATATTCAGACAACGCCAGTCGGCAGAGATGTTGTGGATAGTACCGATATTCAGACAGCGCCAGTCGGCAGAGATGTTGTGGCCAGTACCGATATTAAAACAACGCCAGTCGGCAGAGATGTTGTGACCAGTACTGATATTCAGACAACGCCAGTCGGTAGAGATGCTTTGGATAGTACTGATATTCAGACAACGCCAGTCGGCAGAGATGTTCTGACTAGTTCTAATGCTCAAACAACGTCAGTCGACAGCGAAACTGCGACAGAAAACACTCATCGATAGAGAACAAGTGTTGGAACGATTTCTGTCAGTACAGTCGATGCCACAGTGAGTAAATTGTAAATGTTCTGACATCCTTTACAGAAACATTTCACAACAATGGCCACATTTTGTAATTGCTTTTGAAATTTTGATGAAACTTTTGCGTCTGTGTCTGTGACAATTAAGTTGTATTTTAGAGAAACAAATATTTCTGGTGAGATAATGGTCATTTAAAATATCAGTAAGATGAGTTCAAATAGTATCGAAAACTATCCATTCCGGTCAAATCATTTACTAGCAATTATGTCCAGATACATAGAGAGTAAAGGTTTATCATTGTTTTTCTAAACAAAACTATTAGCTAATATTTAACAATTTCATTAAGCCAATGTATGAAACACGCAACGTTTTTTCTTATATATATATATATCCAAGTTTTGTAGTTTATATTAAAGATTGTCTGATTACAAACAACCCTAGAAAAGTTTTAAATGGGCTGAAAGGCTTACCGCAACGGTGGTTTTTTTTTAATTCGTATAGACTATATATTTGGTTGTATAATGTAATTTTGTGCTACTCTCATCCCGCATACTCTTACAGTCTTTGAAATACATTTTATTAACTGTGTTTATCGGATTGACTGAAAGTTATTTTCTCATTACTTCCACTTTTATTAAAGTAGGTTTACAATGGTTATTTGGTTTGTTACTTGTAATTACACAGTAACATGTATGAACTTAATAATCATTTTACAACAATTGCGAAAAATGATATCCGCGGTATCTATCACTATCGTTGGTCCGACCTAAAGAGCGCAATTGGTCTTACTCATGGAGGAAACTGGAGTACCCAGAGAAAACCGAGGTCGGGAAAATGATCAGATTCCTGTTTACAACAAATCGGGGAATCGAACCCTGGACACCGAGGTAAAGACATGTCTGTTAACACTGCGTCATTCGACCAAATATGATTGTAATTGGACTTGTAATTACAGCTTTGTTTCAAAATAAAATTCAGATGTAGACGTTTTGTTTGTTTATGAAAGGGGATCCAGGATCATATGAAGACGGCGTCAGCGCATGTTTGGCCAATGACGGACAGTTTGATAGTGTCATCAAACAGAGGTATAATTACCTGGTCAAGCGATACTTAGTTCGCATGGCAAACCGTTGAACTGGCTCTATGTCGCCATCTTTACACATTTAAAAAATCAGTCATCATCAAACGAATCGAATTTGACCAAATTGGTCTGGTGAATCTGTGTGTGAAGTTATTGCTATTTGGGCATAGAGAGTCGGACAGGGAGAGAGCCAAAAATAGTTTAGAGGTAAAACACTAGAAAATCCTTCGATCATGTTTGGTGTCAGGCATTGTTCTGTGAAAGGAACACATTTATTTATGATTGATACGTCCGAGTCCTCTGAGAATTCTCCTCGTGTATCTGAACGACGGAACTCAATAGGAGAGATAATGGTAAAATCTTTTCTCTTATGTGGACATTCCATTGTTTTTTTTTTCAAACTTTGTCAAGAGCATCCGTTGGTGAAGCAGATTAAGTTTCATAAACAAAGGGTTTGACAATCCTTGGATGTTGAATGCAAGAATTGTGTACATATTTGATAAGGATCTTCTTTGGAGTGGGGTAACTCAATTATAACATCTTTGCCCAAATAGGAATCGTAACGAAAGGATTTCCGAATGTCTTAATTTGAAAAAGACTCAATATTATGCGAACGGTGCTCAGTTTCCAAGAGGCAAGGAGCGTGGCCAAACTTATAGTGCTAAAGCTTCTGGGAATATAGTCATTGGACCAATTTCGGACTAGACCATTGTTGCGTGATTGAGTGAGTGAGTGAGTGGACTCAACATTGTACAAGCATGTTATATTGGGTCTTAAGGGCCTGAAAGACAGGACTCGGTTGGAAATATCGTGGTAAAACTCTCCTTTTAAAGAAATTACCGGATTTTGTCCATAATTTGTTTAGAACGCCCTTGGGTGAAGCATTTTCATTCTCATGAACCGAACGTTTTACCATCATTGGGTACAGGCAAGTCCTTAAAATTGTCTTTCGTTAAGAATGAAAGAATTTTGACAGAATTTGATTTTAAAAAATCATTGAATCATCTATTTATAATTATTCAATAAATGAGTGTCTACATCATGAACGTCAAAATAACAAATTTTCAAAATAGAAATTAACATTTAATGACTGGAAAAATCCACATGATATGACACTTCAATAAGATAACTGATGATTATGTATGCAAATCTAGTTGCTCTATAAGCTTAGGACTGTGATAACACAAGGTTCGTCGATGCGGATTCCAACCTGGCCGTCCAAGAAGAAATGAATATAGGGATTCTTCACACACAGGTAATTTCCCGGAACAATTTCCTGTCAGCGGAAGTAGGGAGTCGGATCATCATAGTCCAGGTAGAATGCTGCCATCATCTCTTTGTCTGTCTTGTCCTGGAATATTTACAAAACATCTTCTCTGTATTAACTATACATTTTTCAAACAAAACAAACAAATACCGCTCCGCATGTGAAAGAATCAGAAAAATATATCTAGATAGATGTGTTCTGAAAATAAACAATGTCAAGGATGCGAGTTGAAGAAAGAAATCTGTCATAAAATATGTCGCGAGGAGGGGGAGTCATTGGTTGTAAAAATACATGGCTGGCTTTGCGAATGGTATCAATGTTAAATAAAAAACACATACCTGGATGAAGACACAGTGACGAATTGGATATGGATGTTCCCTTGAGATGTACGCCAATAAGACCCTCTTCGATCCAAACGTTTCCGATACCTGTTTAAATTCATCCAGGATGTCATATTGAGGAAACACTTTCTTAGCCTCGTTCCAAGCTTTCTTCATGTCTTTAAACAGCTTATAACCCGAATTGTTATTTAGGTCACTCAGTGACAGTTTGCTGAGATCGATAGATGTCACATTTTTACCTTTTAGATGTCGATATTGTGGTAACGTGGGTTGCCTGGAAATCCTTACATATATCTCGATGTGTCGACTTCCAGTTCCTTTTTTGACACTTCCAGAAACAGTACAATACCTGGAAACATCCGGTACATCTCTTGAGGTTGGGGGCCCTTTGTTGGCATTCCTCACATTGCTGATCCATCCCTGATGTGGAGTTTGTCTGTTAAAGTCACTGGTAGGGAATGGTTGCTGTGCGAAAATATGACTAAGGACATTATTCAGCTTGTTTTATTGAAGTATCAGCCCAAACATGAGGCGGTTGTGGAGGCTGAAATGTAGGCACAGGATAATGCCTTGGCTAGGAGTAGAGGTGGGACGATTTTTTTCGTTGTACTCTGATTCACTACGTTATTTCAGAATTATTTATAATTTCACACAATAGGTCACATAAGACAATGTTATATCTTATTCTCAGAACCATACACTATGTCAGTCCATAAAAATAGATCTCCATCACTTACAGACGTTTTACATCAAATTTGGTCAAAATCAAAATTACATTATTGGACTAAAGGATTTCTGTCCAATGGGAGGTTGTGGGTTGGAAGTTTGGGTTCTTTTGGAAAAAAATTAATCAGTATCTGGTCAAATCTCCTCTCGAAACTCGCGTGTATATGGTCTGTTGTCGCATTTTCATTTGGACTCAAAATTGTTACAAATGTAAATGCCACGCCGCGTTTTCAAATACAGTAAGTGTTATGCTGAAGATCCATATCTATTCATGGGCTGGAGTTACAGTGAAAAGTGTACCTTTATGTTGCATGAGTCGTATTTCAAATGCAGGCAATTTACAAGCGTATCAATAGACTAGACATTGCATTCAATGTACATATAGTTATTACCAGATCTACCGGGTATTAAAACCATAACTTGGTTTTGATATAACTTGTACAGCAGTCATCTAAGCCACAGTGTAGTGTTTCTTGTCTTTCTGTATTCACTGTGTACTACCACCACCCCGAGGTCGCTAAAGCCACGTGAAAATAGGACCAGGTAGATGAAAAACTAACTCAGAGGTACAACAATGGATTCTATTCATTGTTTACAGTCACCACAAGGCTTACGTAAACTTGTTCATTCTAAAAAGACAAATTCGTTGCATGTGCTCTTTTAAAACATTGAGATATTATAAATGATACCAGTACAACAAACTGATGGATCTCATACCCATAAGTGTATAGTTATAATAAAAAGCTCACCCGTTTATCTGTGTCCACCCCGCCTCACGTTAGTACAAAACATGCACGGATTGACTTGGAAGATACCATGTACAAATTACAACGGGGAAGCTAGGATATTCAGGCACATTCAACATTCCTCATTTATTCAACACGAGACTACAGCATTATATTGAAATTAATGTCAAATTTTGGTCGAATTTCATAAAGATTCACAATCAGTTGAAAGTATTTCGTGTCCATACAACGAATTTCCCCCTAATACATGTACAATGGGCATGTCCCACGTTAAACGGTCTTGTAGGGGGAAGTTTTGATGTCGTTGATACGAGTTCAGCATATACTTCAACACTGATCAATTGGTCACTAATAATTTTTTTATAAAATCGTGGGATGTTTTACATCAATTATGGAAAAAGACAACGTCTTGAAAAGATAACTAACACGGAAAAAATACACTTGCATAATACAACTGGAACTTTCCATATTTGATTCTCCAGAGAATACATGAGAAATGCTAAGAGAGCCACTATCATCTTCTTCCAATTCTAGTGTATTTCACCATGAAAGGTGTTAGTTACAGACAGCACTGTTTACATTTGATAACGTCCAAGTTAAAGACAGTCTTATCAACATTTTATAACGTCCGAGTTAAAGACATTCTTATCTACATTATATAACGTCCGAGTTACAGACTGTCATATTTACCTTTTATAACGTCCGAGTTACAGTCTTATTTACATTTTATAACGTCCGAGTTAAAGAAAGTCTTATCAACATTTTATAACGTCCGAGTTAAAGACAGTCTTATCAACATTATATAACGTCCGAGTTAAAGA